GATAGGGGGGATCGAGTCGGGCAGAAAGAAATTAAGCAAAGGTTGATTTATTCCGGTCTATCGAACGAAACGGCCGAGCCAAGCGGGGATTATTCGTTTTATTTGGCAAATATCGAGCCCGTAATCTTGGATTCTGGAATAGTGGCGTTGCAACAACGTGGGAAGAAGCGGAAACGGGAAGCAGGGAAAGGACGGAGGGAAAGGGAACGGAGAAATATTAGGAGGGAGGGGGAGGATGGGAGAGAATGGCGGAGAGAAAGGAAGGGGAGGGGGTGGACGAGCACCGACGAGTCGGGAGAGGGGAGGGGAGGGGTGCGGGTGGTAGTTGGTCTGACGCAGCAAACAGAAAATAATACCGCGGCCATTGTTCCCGTTTTGCTTTTCCGTCTCGCTTCATTCACTCCCCCCTCCCGTTAACATCGGGGGTCTGTTCTAGGAACCCTTCCCCATTGTCGAGTTTCGCTAGCTCCCTTTTACCTTTCTCATCATTTCCCTTCACCTTCTTTCTTTCTCCTCTCCCGCGCATTTTCCCGCGCGTCTGTCTCGCCCGCCACCACCCCTCCCCTTTCTTCGTTTTCTTTCCTTTTTTCTTTTCTTTTTTCACCCTCCCACCCTTTCTCTCCACGCAGCCGTCCTCGCAGTCGCGGTCGTGGTCGTGGTCGTCGTCCTCGAACGGCACACGTATTCACATATTTTAGCCGGCTCTCGGAGTGGAACAAGGAGAATCGCTATCCGCGACAGATTGGAGTATTTATTCGGCACTGGGAAAGGGAGCCGTAATACCGCTTTGTGTCGCGACGCTTTTCTCGCCGAAATAAATCAATTTTTTCCCCCTTTTCCACGATACGACGCGCATCCCGCGCATTCATCCTTGACGTTAACGCGTGGGACGTTTGAATTCGACAAACCCTCGTCCACCTTTCGGATATATCCGATATATCGAATAAAAATTTCGATTTCTCTCTCTCTTTCTCTCTCTCTCTCCCTTCCTCCCTCGAGATCGATGAAAAATATTCTAACGCGTTTACACGGCTTTCGTTTGGTATCGCATGTAGGGAAGATCAATTTTATTAACTGCCTTATCAAGCCGGATATCCTTCTCATTTTTCTGCAACATCAGTCAACGCGTTTCGTTCCCACTTTGATCGGTCTCGTGTAATAAAACTTGTAATTCTATTTACATGTTTCGATTCCCGCTTTCAAAGACTTTGGTTCCGACTCGTTTCTCAATTTTATCCCCCGCCGAGCACGCGACCTCGAATCGCGTGATTGTGTTAACCCCGTACACGAAATATATATATATGTTTATAAATTGGTTCCTTTCTTTTTTTCTCTCTTTTTTCTTTCTCTTCTTTTTTTTTTTATCTTTGTTACCCAGTTTTTTTTTCTCTCTTCTTTTTCCATTCTTCGTTCGTTTACGCGTTCAATCACACCCTCCCTCCCTTCTTCGCGAGGTGTAAGCGCGAAAAAACAAAACGAACCAACGAACCGTTTGGATAGAATCGAAACGTTTGTTCGATCGATAGGAGGAGAACAATCTGTCGCCGCGCGGATCACATCAGCGAAATGGTATATACCCTCGTGATGGTGCCTCGTCAAACGAATTAATTTGCCGAGTAATATTCGTATCGGGAAGCATTCGATTCAATTTCACTTCGTTTCTTTTTTGTTCCACTTTCTTTATTCCCGCTTCGTTCCGTTTCGCGTTTATTATTTCACCCGAACTCTCGAGATAATCAAGAAATATATATCTTTGCCGCGTCATCCACGTTTCGTCGTATTTTTATCAGCCGTTACGACCTCTCGTGACCAAGGTCTGCTCGCAAACTGTCGCGGTTCAACCGATAAGAGTTAACAAACCCGCGAGTTCGATTCGATCTCTCTTAATAAGAAACCTTTTTTTCTTTTCTTTTTTTTTTTTTGGAATCGCAAGATCGAAATTTAATTGAAAAACCCAGTACGATTATTATTTCCCTTTAACGAGATTTCTGTTATCACCGAGTAAAATTTATTTGGTCCATAAAATAATATTTCTCAAAGATGAATGGCCAGAGAATGCCAAGATATATATTCCACCAAATGGTTATCCTTTTCGTTCATTTTTCCCGTATAATTAAATTATATTTCGAATACACTCGGAACCGCTTCGCACAGAATGTGTTTTTCGAAAAGGACCCGCTCTTTGCTCTCGCTTTTGTTTCTCTTCTGATTTCAATTATTATTCTATGGCTCTGGATATAATTAACCACGCTATGCTCCATCCTTTTTTGCGTATCTTTTCTATAAAGGACCGATCTTCTCGATCACATCGCGATCCACGGAAAAATTTCTTTTTAATTCAAGTTTATTTTGAGGAATGCGAAATATCGCGTGAGAAATCTTCGAATAACAATTATTTCTGTTATAAAGATTATTATATATTTAAAGTTCACTAAAATTTTATACGTGGTTTTATTATTGAATGTTGCCAACATCACTATTTCATAAATGGTACCTATTCGTTTTTCTTCGATACGCGTACTTCAAATGTTTTGTAAACAGATACGCGCAATCACGTATACTTAAATATATTCATTCAATTAAAACCCGTACATTTTTATTTATTGTTTTCACTGCCCAGTCAACAATTTCTTTCATTCAGAATCGTATCTCTTTTTCTTTTTTATCGTTCCCGCCGCCGAATCGAAGCTTAAGAAGTGGGAAACGACTTGGTAGCCGGCAAGTTCGATTCAATTTCGCCAAGTTTGGGGCGGCGATGACGAAACGAGACGTTGTCATCAAACTCGCATCCACTTTGCAGCCAATGGAGGACAAGTGGTTTCGGGGCGGCCGCGAAAATCCACTTTCGTGCCTGGTGCCTGGGCTTCATATCCCCGATAATGCATTATTCCGTCGAATAAGACGGATGGGGAATAGTATTCCAATTAGGAACGTGGAGCACAAAGGAGACTTTGCTCGCCACCACGTAATGGGCCCACGAGTTTGTTACGTGAATTATGTCAAGCCTGTAACTGCAGCGAACCGTACAAGATCGAAATTTCCTTGGACGATCTCGTAAAATTATCGAAGAGAGTTGCGAAAAGAGGATTTTCGATAAGTTGATTTAATAAACGGTACTCCAAGTCGAACGAAAATTTGGCGAGAGCAATGGATACTCGAACAGTCTCGTTTTTTCCTTCTCTTGAACAAATTTTTATCGTTTGTCGTGAAACGATATAACTCGATAAAAGCGCGTTATGAATTAAAAAATAAGAAGCGAAATACCGGATCGAATAATTTTCAATCGGAAGATCGATAGTCCATCTTTCTCTTCCAGAGAAGAGACCAACCATCTCGAGAGTTTGGAGTCACGGGACGATTTATTATAAGATCCCCATAAGATGAAAGCTTAGGAGAAGGGAGAAAAATCGAAAGGCACGGTTTCAGCCGAGAACCGATAAGGAGGATGGACCCGGAAGCTTGAAATACCCCGCAGAGTCCGGCTAAAGGCGAAGCGTTCGGTCGCGGGCACGTACACGGACGTAAATCTCGAGGCGGAGGATCGACAAAAATTTTGTTTACAGTATGGAGAACTTGTTGCTCTCTGAGAAAATCCAGATTTACGGATCCCATCACGAATCTCTTTCCACCCGTTTCGTTCGCGGGAAGGAAGGAAAAGTTTCCTCGCGCGCGATTCTTCTCGAAGACGAATCGAGGGAATTAAAAGTGGCGCCGCCGACGACAGACGGGCGTAATGAACGGAGGGAGGAAGAGGTTGGCAAGAATCACGATCCGTCTGGCCAGAAGGAAGTCTCCCGTTAATACGGGGGCATCCTTAAATTCTCGTCAAGAGGACGGGAGGAGAACGTAGAGCGCGGCAACGTACTCGCCTAACGACCCGTTAGGGTCTAAATCTTGATAAACAGCTGCAAAGATTGTTAACGTTCCTCCATTATTTAGAGGAGAGGTGGAGTTTCTCGCGGGCCAGCAACGTTGGAGAAGAGGAATAAGAAGAAGAAGGGGGGGAAAAAGGGAAGGAAGAAAAGAAAAGAGGTTGGATGCCGGCCAGACTCGAAGGTTTTCTTCGCTCTGAATGCCGTCGATCGCCAAAAAGCTGGATCGTTGATGGGGCCGCGCCGCGAACGTTTTGTCGCCGGGATGATTGAAATGCATCGTCCCGGCTCGAATACGTCGCGGTTTTAAAATAAACCTCTCCCTATATATCTCTCTCTATATTTTCTCGATTTCAAATGGGCGAGCAGCGTCATCTCGCGAAAACGTTCTTCTTTCCACGGATTTAATACGCGAGCTTCGAAATATTCGTCGTGCAACGTCGATCGCTCGACGGCGCATTCGTGCCAAGAGATTGGATGAAAAACGAGCGGTATTACAGCGGTGTTCCAAACACCGACACGCTTATCCGTAGTCGTAATCGCGTTCCCTGCCGCGCCACCGCTCACTTCTGCCAACGCACGCCTACTTTCGTCACGACGGCGTATTGCCCGTTAACGCAATAGAGAAATTACGTCGATTTACTGGAGGAATGTTCGAAAGGGATCGCGATGATCGCGATATAACTTGTGTATCGTATTTCGTGCGACGGTATATATATATGTATGTAGCGAAGTAAGGGTTCGGACAATCGTTCGGGCAGAAACGGAATTCGATATAATATTCGTATCGAGGCATCGAGGTTTCGAGAGGGGATGTCGGTTGAAAGCGCCGAGAAGACAAAGAAATCCGACGTTCCGCGAGAAAAAGAATCGATTCGATCGCGATAACGTTGGAAGTAGTCCGCGTTTCGATATTCAAGCCGCCTTTGTTAAAATGCATGCATTTACGAGGAACGGTATCTCCTTGACCTCGAAACTGTTAATTATACCGACTCGTCCTATATCGATTCGTTTCGACTCGTTTCATCGCGACGAGGCTCGTTAAAAAGATATTTTTACGGGGAACGTAACGTTCCCGTTACGGAACGCCGTCGCCCGTTTCGAAGAAGAAAAAGGGCGATTACTCACCGAGAAACACGTTCTCGTCGATGTCGTCGGCGTGCAGGTCGAGGTCGAGGTCGAGCGCCCCGTTGGTGGGAGCCTGGTGGCTCCTGTTTGCGAGGTCCATCGGCTCGTTTCGACGATCCTGGTGGCCCGTGGCCAGAAGTTCGGCCAACAGGGTCAGATAAGACGAGTTGAGAGAGGTTGGGCTGGTAGCGCGTAAACAGCCGGGCAACCAGAATCCTAGGAGACCGTAGGGAATCACCGGTACCGCTCCACCACTCACGAAGCCACCGTTCAGGAGTTCGCCGCACAACATAGGTGCAGCGATGACCTCAGCTCCTCCCTCGTGACCTTGGCAACGCCTCGATGCCCACTACCTGCGTCAACAGATTCAACGGAGATTGCGGATTAAACCAAGTCGCGGGATTACGCGGATTTGGCCCGGATCGAGTTAAAAAGAGGGGGCAGGAGGAGGTAATCGTTTTAAATCGCCACCTTTTTCACAACTTTCCTTTCCTTTTAAAACCATATCTCGAACGATTCCAGTTCTCTTCGAATCAAACGGAGGAGAAGAGAAGAGAAGGGAAGAGAAGAGAATAATCGAGTAATGCGAATATATGCATCGCGTTCGAAGAAACACGGGAATCGGCGTTGGCGTGGTCGCGTAACTTTTAACGTCGTTACTCTTTCGGGAGGAACCGACCACGAAAAATGGAATAACGCGCCGTGACGAAAGACGTTGCACGCCGTTCAGAACAAAACTCGAACACCGTTCGAATAACAAAAGAGTTGGCACAACAACGCTGGACACAGCCTCGGACAACAATACGATCCCGCACAATTATCGCGAAATGCACGCAAATTAATGCCACGCGCACATACGCCCGTATATCTCTCTCTCTCGTGTACGCGACACACACACATGTACACACACCGCCGAGATACGAACCGTACCACGCATAATATTCGAAGGTGGAGTTTGGTTCGCTCGTGAAAAAGGAAAAAAGAAAGAAAAGACCGAGCGCTTCGATTCGACACGGTTTCACATCGAAATTATTATATCCGCGCGGGGGAAATGCGGAAATTCGGCGACTCTTCCGCGGTGACACGTGGTGCGATGGTAAAATTTTCATTTCGATTTTCACACGGCGAAAATGAAGACTCACCGGCGCCATCCCACCGCGCAACGATCTCCGCGCTTCACTCCGCGTTCGAATGTTGGAAAATTCGAGAAGAAGGAAGCGTGAAAATACTCTGGCGAGAAGGAGTGGATCGAGCTCGAGAGCCGGCGTAAATGGACTGTGACGAGGAGAAAACCAGAAGCGATCCAACAGGCAACGAAGGCATTCCCGTGGAGCCGGCCGCTCGTGCTGTCTGAGTGATGACGTCACTGGTGAATCGCGTGGGCGTGGACACGCTGGATGATCTCACGTTCGCCGCATCAACAATTTCCTCCAACCTACGTCGCACGGCCGCCGCCGTGCGTTCGATCTCGTGCGTTATCGCGGCCGTAAATCATCGCGAAACCGAGCTCGAAAAACTGGGAAGTAGCTCGCGGCGTAAACAAAGTCGATCGCTGAAATATACGCGAGAGGGGGAGGAATACAAAAGAGAGACGATAATATCTAATACGATTTCATTGTCGGGAACAGAGTCGACTCGATGAAACGGTGAATATCTCGTGAAACGTGGTGTCGTGACGTTGATACGGCCGTGGCGCGCCGATCTCTTTCTCGAACTGTAGCTGTGGTATCGAAGATGCGAGAAATAGCGGAGGCAAATGATCTGCCGTTAATTCGATCGAGTGTGTGTATCTGGCTATCCGCGACATACATATTTCATGGGAATTCGGATTACACCGCGAGAAATCATGGTAGAGTTCGAGTTCCAGAAATTCCTGATCGGAATTTCGAGCGTGTGCAGCGTGCATTGGCGTAACACAGCGCGCTGGCTGTATATATATATATAATATATACCCAAGATCGATTACCAATTTTCAACGTGTCTATTTTCGGAAATAACATCGGGGGGGAATGTTCACTGAATATTCCTATCGGTTCCTCTCGTTTCGCGCCTTGTAAATTCAGTGTTATCCGTAGCCGAGCCGATTGAAACGGTTGAAAACGAGAAGGGATTCTATCTGCATCATCGTTGCTTTGAAAATTATAAGAGCGAGGGGCAAACTTGTAACGCAATTTGTGGAACGCGTGACTGAAATAGAATAGGCGTTACAACCTGGAATATACATTCGTCGGTTCACTTTTCGTTAACGTTGCATCAGCTTCGTTCGATCTCACGGAAGTATAACGTTCCATCGTAAAGATTATTAGAACGTAGGGACGAAGAGAAAGAGAGAGAATGGAAAAGAATTGGTATCGAAGAAACGATTTAATTTTTAAAGAAAAAAAAAAGCTGTTGCAAGAACTGTTGGATTTCATGGAAGGAAGAACGATCTTTTGAACGTGTGCATTATTACTGTATACGCGAACGGAATATTCGTTCGAAAATAACGTTACGAAATCTTGGACAATGACCTATTCGATCCGCGAATTTATACTCGGAAAATCATTCGAGAGAGAAACAACGTTCCGTTCGATGGGGAGTGACGCATCGTATGGATAAATTTCAATAATTCGTTTAATGATATCGTTATAAAGATTAATGAACCGTGTAGCTTATATCCTCCATTTAAAATTGAAACGATATTCCAATTGATCATGCGCATATAACGCAGATATACGATATCTATACTGAATTTAATAGGTGATATACGTATGTTCGAGAAAGGATATTTCTTTTTTTTTTTTCCCCTTCTCCAATATTTTTAATTTGCAAAATCCGTTCGTTAATATTCGAAGGGCGTATCCACAACTTTCCATCATCTACGTTAAATTTCGTTTCAATTGCAATCGCGTAACAAGTTTCGAATTGATCAGCGCTAATAGCGCGATAGGTGCAAATATTAACAATGCATTTTCTCTGTCAGCATTGCTCCATGTTTGCCTTCGTGTTTCACCGAGCATCATAACGATCAACAAATGTTCCTCCTGTGGGTTTTTTTTTTTTAAGCAAAAAAACAATAATTCAACGAATAACAAAGCGATTCCGCTTCTTTCCTTTTTTTTTTTTTTCTCTCCTCGTCGGATGATAAAATACGTCGTTACATTACGATGCGTCAAAAGGGGGATGATAAAACGATCGAGACGTGCAAAATTGATAAACGACGCGGATACGAAATCGAATCGATATCGGCATTAAAACTTACGCGGTCGAAGCGTTCGCTTCGCGGAACTTGATCGTTCGACTTCCTTTTTCTCCGATTGCACGTGATTCGAGCAACGTTTCATGATCGTCGAATTACACCGTTACCGGTATAAATGAATCATGGCCGGCTACGAATATCGCGATACCGATACTGAGAGAGAGAGAGAGAGAGAGAGAGAGAGAAAGAGGGAGAGAGAGAAAAGTTGGGAGATAACAACAACCGGGAAAGCAGGAGGGGGTTGAAGGAAGCCATCGACCAGGAGCGGCAGACGAACGGGCGCCATCGCCACCCCTACCCTCGCCACTCCACCCTTTATTCAACGGCTTATCCAAAACTAGAACAACCCCTTGCTCGGCTTTAAAGCACGAAACGTATGAGCACCGGGCACGAGATATTCGTTCCACCTTCGTGGCCATTCATAAAACAACCTTAAACGCAGCTTTTAGCCGCTAAATACGCGGTGATTTATAGCAGTATCTTCACCGTGGCTCGTTTCACGGATCGTTAAACCTCGAGAGGTAAGGGGGGACTACGATCGGTCAACGCATGGCATTTTTGCTATTTTTGACGCCGCCTCGGTTTACTTCCTCCCACGATTTATTCATATCATATCCGTTTGAATCGATCGAATTTGAATCACGATTCGCGTGCCACGCACACACATACACGAAGAAACGAGGATATCGCGCCGGACCGGTCGACCAATTTCGCGTCCCAATTTCCTCCAATTTCTTGGATCCCCTAAGTCGTCGGTCCGGAAAAGGGATAGCGAATTTTCAAACTCGACGACGTTGTTTCCAGCTTACGAATCTCTCTTCCTCTTCCCCTCCCCGCCGCTTCGATTCCCAAGGGCCATTGAACTCTTGCCGCATTCGCAAAGTACCAGTCCAAGTTCTCGCGCCCGGGGTCGATAGTCATATAAACGAGTACCAAGTTTCCCCGATACAGGACTCGGTGAGTTGTCACTCGCGAGCGTCACGTACACACACGTGTGTATACATCGAATTCCGCTCCATCGTTTTCTCCCCTCCCTTCCGTGTCTGGGTAAACATCGTCGACGCGTCGTTACCGGCTTCCAATCTCGCCTGTGCCCGCGAAAATCCGGCGGGACTCGATATCACCTGGCGGAAAATCGTGACGTCGTCGAACCGTCGAGCTTATACACACACACACACACATATATGGTGGCAAACTCGGCCTCGATATCGCGATGACGCTCGTTCCATGCAACCCTCTGCAACCCCCGAGTCTACTATACCCCGAGGCTCTAGGATAGGGACTCCGTACGTTTTATAACGTGGCTTACGAGGCTTGCACACGTGTGTATACACCTACGGAAATATCAATCAGAGCGGAACCAGGGATATCAAACGTATACGATGCTAAAATATTTATACGGGTAAGTACGCGCGCGTGTGACCGTAAAAAAGGCGACGCGTCGTTTTCGAACCCGTTGGTTTCGCGCGATATCGCGCGCGTACTTTGCGAACGCACGTGGGGAATAGAGGTGGGGAAGGGTGGAAGGTGAGGAAGGAGAGAGAAGGAAAAAGGGAGAGATATAGAAATTCCAGCGATGAGAAAGTTGAACGAATTTTTTTATCTCGCTGCACACCGAGTTTAAGAGAGGAGGGAGGGGGAGAGAAAAGAGACGAACGTCATTTGCTTTCTCTCCTTCCTCCCCCTGAACTCGAAGAAGAAACGAAATCTTCCAAATCGAAGACGAACTCCCTCCCCACTCCCCGACAGAAGAATCTCGTCATTAAGATTTTTGATTTGAATGCAAATAGGCTGCTAGTTTCTCCGGTGCGCTTTCATCCCTTGGGGATGTTTTTCGCGTAAATGTAAATCGACTTTATTTCCCTGCAAAGGCGAGGATGAAGAAAAACTTGAAAACGAGGCGAATCCTTCTCGAACTTTTGTAATCAGTTTCGTGTAAAACGATAATAAGACCCATCCACCTTCTCGCTCCCCCTTTCTTCCTTTGTCCTTTCAATTTTTTCCCCGTTACCGTTACCAATCTCGTCGGGGGACGACAACGACATGTGGAGGCACCTTCAATCCCATCGCCTTTCTACTCGAAGCTTTCTACTCGAATTAAGATTTCAGGTTCGG